AAAAGAAACTAATTTAATAAGAGGTCTCCTGTTGAGATACAAAGTTCTAGGCTCAAGTGTCATAAGGGGAAACAACAGATTCTTTAATTTTGAATACACTATGTTCAAATCAATATCAAAGAGCATGGCGAGGTCACTGAGATGTCATGATGTCAAAGGTGGCATGGATATTTTCCTGCATAGAAGAGAATCCTGAGCCTCTCATTAATCTTTATCGATGGAATAGCTGTGGTTATCAGTTGTGAATAATGCATTCCTTCCAAAACAATATGATTAGAGATGGGAATTTATTTTTAAAGGTACAGCTCCCAGAATTATTCATATATGATGGCCAATGGCCATGACAGCTGGGGGAATGCAACATACACATGAAATGCAAAGCAATGGTGATAAGATCTAGAAGAATGTAGACTGGTAGACCATCCTCACTGCTGAATTATAGCAGTTTGACACCACTTTACACATCATGGTCCCATCCTATGAATCACTGGGATTTATAGTTTGTTGTAGTAACCAGAGCTCTCTAACAGTGAAAGGCAAATACCTCACAAAACTACACATTTTGGAGTCCTGTGCCAATTTTGCAGTGTGGACATAGCTTAAGAGTGAACTGTGGCATATCCATGGCCTAATTCTGACCTGATGGTCTTAGGCCACACACTGATCCCTTCTCCTCCGGGAATGGTTTGAGCATTCAGAAAGTTTTACAAACACAGGGAATATACTACCATCTCAGTCCATTCCACTGATGCAAAGATAATAATAATAATAATAATAATAATAATAATAATAATAATAATAATCTTTATTTATACCCCCCCCCCCACCACCATCTCCCCAACGGGGACTCGGGGCGGCTTATGTGAGGCCAAGCCCAGACAACATATTACATATAAAGATACAGGGATTTTCTATTGTTTCAAAATTCAGTGGCCATTATACTATGGATGTTTAGGTCCGAACAAGGGATTCAAGTCCCAACCAACTAGAATCAGATAAGAAAAAGTCAGACCAAGTTTTTTTTAGTTTGAATCATGGTAATGTGAAGCCAAGTAAGACAATAGTGCTCAAAGTCCAGGTACTGAACAGACAAAGTAAAGTCAGGCTAGATCTTCACTGCCATATAATGATCGAGGCCCTGCTCTCTATCCCGCCTTCCACACAAGCGTGCTTGGTGGGGATGAGAGACAGGGCCTTCTCAGTGGTGGCCCCTCGCCTGTGGAACTCCCTTCCCAGGGATATAAGATTGGCCCCCTCCCTCCTGACCTTTCAGAAAAGAGTAAAAACCTGGCTCTTTGAGCAAGCCTTTGGAAACACGGTGTAATTGGGCAAACACAGTATGATGAAATAATTGAACTCGAAAGAGCTTAAGCAATGTAAATTGATAAGGAGTAGAATTGGTAGACATTGATTATTAGTCTTAAGTGTGTTTATATGGATCTTTATTATGTGATATTAGCTGTTTTAAATTGATATCTATGTAATGTATGCATGTTATTGAGTCCACCCAGGGGTGAGAAAGATGGTATACAAATCCTGTAATAAATAAATATGTTATGGCATTTATTCATTGCCAATCTATACGCTGCTCTAAGTCGCCTTCAGGCTGAAAATGGAGAGGGTAAAAATGCGGTAAATAAATAAATAATAGTTTAACAGCAATGCATAATATAGGCATACAATGAATCTATAATCCAGATTCAAACCACTTTTTATAGCAGTGTAGATCCGGCCTAAGTTGAAACAAGTGGCCTAGGAAGAAGTAGGAAGATCAGGCTTGAGACTGAAAGGGATGAGGCTCAAATGTGACTTGTGTTGAAAAGCACAGCACAGCAATAGAGAAACAAGAGCGTAAAAAACAAAAACAACAGTTACAATAAGTACACTTAATGGGAAACAAAGAAGCTAAAATGGAAAATGTAACAAAAATGACATAGCGTAGCACACAAAACATAATGTAGTAAATTAAAATCAGTGCACTGAGCGTGTTTCCAACCAAAATGGTCTTCATCAGCAGTTACAAAGTGGCATAGGCATAATTATAATAAACTCCCAGAAGGCTCGCAGCACACAGCCTTAATGTTTTGTTGCAGAGCTTTAAATTGCATTACCACAAAGGGAAGGTCAAGAAACAAATCTCAAATCCTGATGTTAAAGCAAACCCTGGCACGAGATATCTTCAATGAGAGCTGCAATTACGTTGAAACTTTTTTTTGGTTCCAATTTTGTGTTTAATGCATTTATAGACTGTGATTTCCCCCTTACATTCCTACTTCTGTACTGAAGTTGGCTTCAGCCGACTCCCCAGCAGAGTCTTTAAAAGGACTTCATTTCCAGTAATGCAATATTTATTTATTTACAGCATTTATATTCCGCCCTTCTCACTCTGCAAGGGACTCAGGGCAGATTACAATGTACACATATATGGCAAACATTCAATGCCAATTAGACATACAACGTATATAGACATACACAAAAGCTATTTAACTTTTTCTGGCCYCCAGGGGAGCTGTCGCTTTCATCGTCCATCTGTGACACTGATGAGGTACTTCCGCATTRCCCGCATGCTTTTTGCTGGAGTGCTTTTTACTGGAGTCTTTTTATGGCCTCATAATTTAATTAGCCTCCCCACACATAGGTGGTACCTAATTTTCCTACTTGACAGATGCAACTGTCTTTCYGGTTGCAAAGATCGACAACAAGTTACACAATTGGCCGGACACTCACTCCGACCCAGGCTGGCTTRGAACTCATGACCTTCTGGTCAGAGTGATCTCAATGCAGCTGACACTCAGTCAGCTGCACCACAATCTTCTGTTTATTTGGAGGGGGGGGGGTATTCTGCTTGATTCATCCCAGCAGATTGTGCAAGGGGGATAGCCYTGGTTCTGCTGGAATTTCAGAATCAGAGAAAATCAATGCAACTTTCTTAAACTTGAAAGGTTATAGTAAAATAGATTTCTTTCAAATACTGGAATCTTTTGTGGCTGTCTTTGGTGCTTCCTTTTCCTATATGCACCTCATGGTCCAAGCTCATCCCCTGAAGATAACGAATTGGCTTATTCCTCCAAACTTGGGAAATTGGATCCTAGGGGATCCTAGTATTTTAAGGGCATGGAAAGGAATGGCATTGGAGCCTATTTTCCTCACTGAATCAGTCTTCAAGAAGTGAAATGGACTAAGGAGGTTGTCTCTCCTTCCAATGACTTATTTTGCCCTTGCAACTTCATGTGGTTTGTATGCTTATGCTGTTAAATGGAATATGGTGCTAATTGGAATAGCAGCATTAAAAAAATAGGAAAAAGGTGTTGAGGGATAGGAACTGAGAAATAAAAAAAATGAGGCTGTGATGTTCTGGCTTCTGAATTTTGCAATTAGCAGCAGACTAATTTTTTGGAGTCTTGGAGGTAGGGAGGTAGGCATCATATGTAACATGTTAAATCTGATAATAATACGAGGGTTGAATGAAAAGTAATACCTCCACCTCTGTAACTTCTCAACAGATGGCAGTACTGGTATGCAGCAGGTACTGGCTTGTTCAATAGACTCTCCTCTACAGTTTCATTTTGGTGGGAAGCTTTAGCATTGAACGCTTGTGTTGTTAAAGTGTGAAGTATGGAACCCTGTGCAGACGGTCGGTCAATGCGACTTAAGCAACATTGGTCATTGAATTCATGACAGAAGAAGGTGTCACTCCAAAGGAGATTAATCAGAGAATGCAAGCTGTTTATGGTTATTGTGTTGATGTGAATACTGTGCATCATTGGGCAAGTAAGTTTAAAGATGTTGAAGTGGGAACATCTGACTTGCATGACAAAGAGTTGGACGTCCTGTGACAGCAACCACTGAGTTTCACAAGCAAAAGGTTGACAGATTGATTCAGGATGATCGTTGTATCACTCAGAGAAAAATTTCAAGTATAATTGGCATTTCACAAGAACATGTGGGTCACATTATTGCTTTGCTTGGCTATCGGAAGATCTGTGCATAATGGGTTGTGGAAACAGAGTGTCGACTTCTTCCGTGACTGCTTCAGAAAACATGTTCATTATTGGCAGAAATGCATCCAATTGTTTGGTGATTATGTGGAAAAATGAATAGTGGTAGTTAAAGAGCACATTTCTGTGTCTGATTTATTAAAATATTCCCATCCAAACCCAAGTAACAAAGGTGGAGGCATTACTTTTCATTCAACCCTCGTATTTTATATCTGTGTAACAGAGTATATTATGGTTTTCTCTCTCTCTCTCTCTCTCTCTCTATATATATATATATATATATATATCTATGTCCATTGTTTTCTGACATTTGGTTCCACAATGGAGCCTGTGCTTTCCTCATTGTTAAAAGTTAGTAAGACAGAGTGGTTAGAGAAAGATAGTGGCAAAAGGAAGGTGATATTTTACTCCCTTTTCTTTCTTTACACTCAATATTTTCTGGCATATTTTCCTTTCTGAATAGAAATACAAGGCAGAGAAATGACTGAGAAAGGCCTCCAGAGAAGGAAAGCAACAGATAGGGAAGGGACTGGGCATTTCCTCTCCTACCTATCTTTTCCTGGTCTGTAAAAAGAATCAAGTTGTTCTACTGTTTTGCTTCCCTTGAAGATTATTACATGAAATTAGGCACGTCTCTAAGGCTTTCAGCAATGTTTTTCTTAATATCCAATAATATGTGATGACAATAATATCAAAAATCAAATATGTGATGTGTAAGCCAAGGGGCAGCTTATACGATCTTTCACTCCTAGATGCAACCCTCTGATAAAAGGGGCTCTTTTGCAAGGCTGGCATCATGGAGTCATCCTCCCCATCTTCCATTCATGCTCCCCTTTATTCACGTTTGGAGAGTGTCTGCTGTTTTCTGACACATCCATCCACTTCAACGTCATGGCATTCACACACACATTGTGTTCATGGAGTAGCAATTATGAGACAAGATATTTATTTTTATTTTATCTTCATTTTTTTTCTCTTCCATTGTTTCCTCACCTGGTTTAGAAATAAGTGAGCCCACAAGCTCAACCTTGTTCCAAGGTCAGTATTGTTCTTGCTGTATGTCACATCTTCTCTGCCTCCCTGAATTGCAACCTCCCTCTCCCCGCCATCACTCATTGTTATACATTGCCTGTTTCCCTGTCCAGTTTGCATGGAGGATGGTACCACTTCCTGCTGGGCAACCAAAGGGAGTTCAGGTTCGATCGGTCTCCTTGTCTCCATCATGTCATGTCTGATAAGTCAACCCAGTGCTTCAGAGCTGTAGCATCCAGTTCCAAATCTCCTCATTTTTCCAGATATCGGCTTGAATCCTATTTGTTAGTCTCAACTAGAGTAAACCTTGTGAGCCTACTGTGAATGTTGAATTCAGAGATAAATACCCTTGTTTCAATGGGCTTACACTATTGGAGCTAGTAATAGGATTCAGGATATCAGGTACAGTATTGTTTCCAAGAATCTAAGCATATATCTAATAATGAGAACAATGCTAGAGATCAGTAAGGTAAAGGGAAATGTTTCCCCTGACATTTAGTCTAGTCGTGTCCAACTCTGTGGGGTGGTGCTCATCTCCATTTGTAATCCGAAGAGCCGGCATTGTCTGTAGACACCTCCTAGGTCATGGGGCCAGCATGACTGCATGCAACATCATTACCTTCCCACAGAAGCGGTACCTGTTGATCTACTTACACGTGCATGTTTTTGAACTGCTAGGGTGGCAGAAGCTGGGCCTAACAGTGGGAGCTTGCCTTGCTCCCCGGATTTGAACCGGCAACCTTTTGGTCAGCAAGTTCAGCAGCTCAATGGTTTAACCTGCTGCACCACCAGATCAGTAAAGGCCACCGTTTTTGTAATTCCATAAAGCTACAATTACTAGTATACCCATGGTCCTTCCACACAGCCATATAACCCAGGATATCAAGGCAGATAATCCCACAATATCTGCTTTGAACTGGGTTGTCTATATTCCACTTCAAAGCAGAAAATGTGGGATTTTATTCAGCTGTGTGGAAGGGGCCCCAGTTTCAAAACAAAACAATATATATATTTGTAGAGTAGATGTGCTTAAATAATAATAATAATAATAATAATAATAATAATAATAATAATAATCCTTTATTTGTACCCCGCTACCATCTCCAGAAGGACTCGGTGCGGCTTACAAGAGGCCGAGCCCAAATACAACAATAAAACAGCAGCAGCAACAACACACAATAACTCAAAAAACAAAGCAATAACAATTAACAACACCCAATGACGCAATTAAAAACAATGGCTGGGCCAATTGTAACAATAAAATTAAAAAGTGCTGGGCATGACAAGGTGTTTGGAGAATAAGTTTCCTTATTCTGGAAAGTCACACTGGAACGACCACATAGACTTATAATTGTTGAAACAATCTGAAATTTCCAGTCTTCTCCTTTTATTCTTCTTTTCCCTCTGTACATGAGGTTTTTGATCTCATTCCGGGGTCAAAGTTAATGTCAAAGCTTAGGAAAGCTAATTTTGTTGACCACAATCCCCCAAATCCCCCAACCAGCCAGTTGTCCAAGCAAGAGGCTTTCTCAAGCTACCTTGGCTGGAGGTTGACAGTGTTGATCAATGCTCAATCAGAAGAAGAGTTGCTTCTCTTCTTTGCGGAATTAATCTCTTTGTAGCTCTTTGCTGTTTAAACTGTGTTGTGAATGCTGATATTGCCAGTCTTGCACCTACCAGGCAGACCAAAAGATCAGAGGTACCGCTTCATCATTATTCTGGAGGCAAACTCAAATTCCGTTTGGAGCCATTACAAAACACATAAAAAGGATCTAGAGGAATTGGTGGCATAGTGAACAAAGGATAGCTGTCAGTAGAAGGAGATGTGGAACTGGCAGGAAGGGGCCCCAAGTTGCATCATTGGCAAATGGAGATGAATGGTTTTTGTGAAGAAGCATGCACCAAGACCAGGTGTTTAAACAAATCCATTTTTTTTAAAAAAATTAAGCTAATGGGATGCAGGTGAAGAAGAGTCTTAGCAATCTCAACCAGCGATCCAACCTTCCATCTTCATTGAGGAAACTTGCCTGTAGGAATGGACCTTAACATAGCCTTGCTCCACAGCCCTCCATCCGATTTCATCCCTGATTGCAGGAAATGTATGTGGTTTGTCTCCCTGTCAATCTGCATTCCCTTTCCAGAATCAACACTGAAATGCAGCTGCCTCACTTAACCAAAAAATGGAACTGATTTATTAACTCATCTGTTCTTTCTTTTTCTTTTTTTTTCTTTTTTCTTTCTTTCTGTTTTTCCTCCTGCATGGCTTCCCCGTGTGTCTCCTCCTCATGCCTCCCTACATTCTGCCATGTAAGTACCACCAGCTTATATACCAGCTGTAGCAATTTTTGAAGTCTTTTTTTGTGCTAAGGGGTTGGTCAGGAGAGTGGGGAGATGGGAAGGGAGGCAAGTTGCTGGAGAAGAAACAAAAGCAATACTCTTTGGAATTCACCCCGATAATGGAATATCCAAAGTGGAAGCTCTTTGAATGCTATAAACATAGCAATGGGGAGAGAAAAAAAACCTGTTTAGACATTCACCCCAAAGAGTCAAAGAGGAACAAATGTGTATTCTTCACCTTTTCCACTCGAGAGTGAAAAATCATAGTTCCTGATCATGTAGGTTGCATGTATAGATAATACTATTCTGTTCAGAGTGTAACTCAGTACTCACAGAGAATGTAAAGGTGGATACAGTGAGTTAATGTGCTCCCCTCTTAATGTGTTGCTTTTAACCTTTTCTGAAGGAATGCATGATTAGGACTAACTTGGAAATTATGTTGAATTACAGAACTATATGTGCTATATGTGATGTATAGCAAACATGTAGCAGGGGAGGTTGGTATACTAGATAGGAGCAGAAGGAAATTATGATTATCATGGACTTGGTCCTTTCTGTCACTCTAACATTGTGTTGCAGTCTATATTTCAGTATAATATATCAGAACATTGGTTTATAATAGTTGGTATTAACCAGGATTCTTTCTGATAATATCTTAGTGGTGTGTTGGTAGTGGATGGGTGTGTGCAATTTATATTGGATATAGCCATTTAAATTGTTTTGGGGGACATCCTTAATAATATTTTTTTATGGCAAAAGTATGATAGCTGGGACCCTATGCTACGCTAGTTGCGCAATGTGGCTTAGAATTAATGAAGGGAAGATGTGCGCAAGACAGCGGAGCAAGTGAGAGACACAACTGCGACAGGATAGCAGTGAAGTAATTTAATTTATGTGGGAGAGGATAAGGGTGAAGTAATGTTACATTTAATATTAAATGATAAACAACGGCTTACAAAGATGGTAAACAGGATAGAAATGTTCCCTCTCCCCCTTTCTGGCGAACAATGTTGCCATGACTCTGATGCAGCTGCGTCTCTCACTTGCTGCACAGTCTCGCATATGTGTTCCCCTCATTAATTCAGACTCATGTCGCGCAACCAGCGTAAGGTCCCAGCTATCATACTTTTGCCCTTTTTTATTTATGGGAAGTATAGTTTGAGTTTATAGTTGGACCCCCCAGTGGCGCAGTGGGTTAAAGCACTGAGGTGCTGAGCTTGTTGACTGAAAGGTCGCAGGTTCAAATCCAGGGAGCAGCGTGAGCTTCTGCTGTCAGCCCCAGCTTCTGCCAACCTAGCAGTTCGAAAACATGCAAATGTGAGTAGATTAATAGGTACCACTCTGGTGGGAAGGTAATGGCACTCCATGCAGTCATGCCGGCCACATGACCTTGGAGGTGTCTATGGACAATGCCGGCACTTTGGCTTAGAAATGGAGATGAGCACCACACCCCAGAGTCGGACACGACTGGACTTAATGTCAGGGGAAAACTTTACTATTGTTTGAGAAGTATAGTTTTCTACCTTTGTATCTTTTCATATAGTGATAAAGATCCATAAGATGGTCTGCAGAAGTAAACTGTTTAAACCTTCTTCAAGTCATCTCCTTAAGGTTTCTTTCCTCAGGCCGATTTAATGAGGGTGCATATATTTTTGTTTCATCAGTCACTAGAAACAAGGACGAATTTTAATCTTATTTATTATATTCTTGTATATAGGAATGAGTTTCATTATTGTGCATTTCCAACATTTTTTGCACTCTGGGATTTTTTTCCCTCCAACAATTTTCTTTCAGCAAAAATGGTTGTGCTTGTGAAAAACTTTTTTTGCAGCAGAAAAGGAAGTGTTTTGCACGTAATGTAATGATTTCTCTGCAAAAATGTTGTTCTTGGCACAAAGAACAGAGCATTCAAGTGCTGTTGCAATTATTTTGCATCTGGTTATTGAAGGATCTTCATGAATCCTGGCTATTTCCTTTGAGGCATGAAACAGCTGTTGGGAGGGAGCTTTAGAGGCTGTCAAGATGTGGAGTTTGGATCCTGAAGAAATAGGAAGGGAATGATAATGTCTGTAATGCTCAAGAAAAAATGCACACAAACATAAGGGAAACTTACAAATGTGTATATAACTAACAAGATGCTAGCCTGTAAGTATTAGGTATATACTATTAATATTAGAAGTGGCTCATCCCTATACCTGATCTAAATTCTTTCATAAACAGAATTTAGAGCATGACATTCTTTGTTGATCTTAACAAGCATGCCACCCAAAGAAGACATATGTTGCTGTGGAATATTTCACACACACACATGGAGGAAATTTTTTGCTAGCACTGAAGGCTAGATATTTGTTCATTGTTGATGTTTTTAATGTGTAATAATAGAGACTCACATCTCCACAATAGCTACTTAGGACCCCATCACATGAGGCTCGAACTACGTCCTAGAATGGTTCCAGGATGGATCCAGGACCGAGCCAGTCTAACACATGACGTAGGGCTACTTGCAGTGAGGCTTTTTCCTGGCTCCCTCCTGGAAGCATCCTAGGAGAAAGCCTTGAAAATACAGGTGGATGCCTATGTTCTCATTAGGTAAGCCAGGGACAGCATGGGGGAAGTCAGGTGGTGACAACTTTTCCCCGTGTGATGGGGAAGGTGGCAATGTGGGCTATGCAGGCGGGGCACAAGACAATGGTTTCCCCTGCTGCCCATCACATGGATATGATGATGTTCCTCAGCTTGAGACTCTTTCAGAAGGGCCAACACTGATGTGTCCTGGCTTTGCAAGTTCCTAGTCTTTTACCTTGTGACTCAAGGTGCTTCTTTAAGAACTGAACTGAGAAGAGTGGTAAATGTTATAACAATATGCATTATTTGAAATGTTAATTAGGAAGAAGCTGTTCTGATATCCTTGGGGAGGGCGTTCTATAGCTGACGGGCCACCACTGAGAAGGCCCTGTCTCTCGTCCCCACCAGACGTACTTGTCACAAAGGTGGGACCGAGAGCAGGGCCTCCCCAGACAATCTTAAACATAAGTTAAATGTACAAATTTGAAGGCTTTTTTTTTGTGTTAGGGGCGACTTGAGAAACTGCAAGTCACTTCTGGTGTGAGGGAATTGGTCATCCGCAAGGATGTTGCCCAGGGGATGCCCAGATGTTTTATCATCCTGTGGGAGGCTTCTCTCATGTCCCTGCATGAGAAGCTGGAGCTGACAGATGGGAGCTCACCCAGCTCCCTGGATTTGAACTGCTAACCACCAGGGACCATATCAAGATTCCACTAACCAGTGGCGCAGTGGGTTAAACCCCTGTGCCAGCAGAATTGAAGACCGACAGGTCGCAGGTTCGAATCCGAGGAGAGGCAGATGAGCTCCCTCTATCAGCTCCAGCTTCTCATGCAGGGACATGAGAGAAACCTCCCACAAGGATGACAAAATATCAAATCATCTGGGTGTCCTCTGGTCAACATCCTTGCAGACAGCTAATTCTCTCACAACAGAAGCAGCTTGCAGTTTATCAGGTCACTCCTGACACGACAAAAAAAAAACCAACCAGAGTCAGGTGAAAAAGAGAGGCTCACAGCCTGTCTAAAACCACTAAGATACAAGGTTCCTCTGAGCTGAGATTTCATTATCAGAGCTGAATTGGCAAATGTTTCATACATAAATTGACTCCTGGTCACCTTCTTCCTTTCCTTGACTGGACTATTCATCATTTCAATCTAGTGACTGAGTGAGAGCTATTTTGCTATATTTTGCCATTAAAGAACTGAGAGAAAGAAAGACTTGCAGATGTACTGCAGTTTACTAGGCCCAAGAGAACTCTGCCTGGGGCAGAGCAGCAAATACAATAAATAAAGAGAGCAATAACACTGCAGAAAATGTGTGAAGTCATTAGTGCACACCAACATTGCATGCAAGAGATGAAGAATCTCAGCAGAAGTTTGACTTTGGGCTTCTGTATCTCTTCCTTCTGAACATCCAGAGCAGTCTCACCGGCTGTTGATCTGTCTTTCTTATTCCCTATGGAGACCGCTCATCTTTCATCTCCCCAACATTAAAACCATTTTAATGAAGGCATCGGCACTCAAGAAAAATTGTTTCCTGATTACGGTCTGCAAGCTTCACAATGATTGTCGAGCCAATTTATTAGCAAACATAGAAGTGTGGTAAACTCTTAACATCACAGAAGGACAATTAGTAGTTATCAAAGGCAAGTGTTCCTCCCTCAAGGCTTATGGGGAGTTATGGGGAGGGGAAGCTTTGCAGCTGAAAGAAACATACACATACTTGCACATATACACACACTGATAGATCCCGTTGTTCATCTGTATTACAGGGCAGCCTTCACATCAATAAGATTTGTATAAGTGTTGAAATACCAAATGTCATTATATTGTCAAAGGCTTTCATGGCTGGAGTTTCACTGGGTTATTGTGAAGTTTTCAAGGCTGTATGGCCATGTTCCAGAAGCATTCTCTCCTGTTGGCATCCTCAAAGGTTGTGAGGTCTGTTGGAAACTAGGAAAATTGGGTTTATGTATCAGTGGAATGTCCAAGGTGGGAGAAATAACTCTTGTCTGTTGGAGCTAGGTGTGAATGTTTCAATTAGCCACCTTGATTAGCATTTGATGGCCTACAGTTTCAAGGTTTCAATTAACCACTTTGATTAGCATTTGATGGCTTACAGTTTCAAGGTCTGGTTTCTTATTTCCTGGGGGAATCCTTTGTTGGGAGGTGATTAGCAGGCCCTGATTGTTTCTTATCTGGAATTCCCCTGTTTTTGAGTGTTGTTCTTTATTTACTGTTATGATTTTAGAGTTTTTAAATACTGATAGCCAGATTTTGATCATTTTCATGGTTTCTTCCTTTCTGTTGAAATTGTCCACATGTTTGTGGATTTCAATCGCTTCTCTGTGTAGTTGTTGGAGTGGTCCAGCATTTCTGCGTGCTCAAATAATATGCTGTGTCCAGGTTGGCTCATCAGGTACTCTGCTATGGATGACTTATTTGGTTGAAGTAGTCTGCAGTGCCTTTCATGTTCCTTGATTCTTATTTGGGCAGCGCTCCGTTTGGTGGTCCCTATGTAGACTTGTCCACAGCTGCATGGTACACTGTAGATTCCTGCAGAGGTGAGAAGATCCCTCTTGTCCTTTGCTGAATGTAGCATTTGTTGAATTTTCTTAGTGGGTCTGTAGATAGTTTGTAGGTTGTGTTTAGCAACCCACAAATCCCATGATTCAATAGGTCTACTTTAGTTGAGACTAAGAACTGGATCTAGTCACAAAACATTGTTTCACTCCATCCTTCTAACTCTTTCCCTTCTTCTTTCTTCTTCTCTTTCTCTAATTTTCTTTCACTTCCTCTCTCTCACACACAACAAAGGCACTCGTGGTTGTATCTTTAGAACTGTTTCTTCTACTACTTTCATTGCAATCATACAGTATTTTCCTGAAATTCTAAAGAAAAGAGTCTGTTTCTCTTAGTTTACACCAAGTCCTTGGTGGTGTTGTCATAACAGGCAGGATGGGCAATTTGGCCGAGATCATATTTCATAATTTTGATTAGAGTCAGAATGGTTGTGTACTTAACTTGTGATGTTTTAAGTCTCATGAACAGAGAGTCCAAATACTAACAAGAAAATATCTCGCACTGTAATTTTGAAAATGTCACTGTTTTTCAGGAAGATGATATGTCAGCTTCCATGCCATTTTCTAGGGCTTCTTTTTAAGGTGTATGTTTGGACACTCCCCAGAAGAAAGTAGGCGTGAATAAATAATAATAATAATAATAATAATAATAATAATAATTGTTATTGCAAACAATTTAAACCTTTCCCCTGATCACCAACCCATATATATGTATATGTATATGTATATGTATATGTATATGTATATGTATATGTATACAAACACACATACATAAATAATAGGACCAAATCAAAGTTGGTAGTAAGTTTTTGGATTCGATTTGTCAAACATTTTGATTATTCCAAGCATTCAACCATATGAATGTAGATGTGAGTACCGCCTCTTCCTCTCACCCCAAAATGTGCCTTATGTTTTCATTTCCACTTGTTCTTGCATTATTCACTCATGTTTTCAAATAGGCTCTTTAAAATGGAAAGAAATTGAAGTTTTGAAACACTGAATGTGGTCAAAAGTGAAACCGATCGATTTCCCCATCCCTAGTAATATGCACAAACAGGGACTTTTCAAACAAACAGGATTCATCTGACTTAGGAGAGAGGAAATGGCAATGTTTTGTGGGGAGAGCAGTGAAGATGGCATTCAGCCCTTCTGTTCTCTCACTAGGTATATCCATACATTTATTTCAATAATGTTAAATTCGTTTAAATCAAATTCTAATAATAATAATAATAATAATAATAATAATAATAATAATAATAATAATAATAATAATAATATATTTAGAAGAGATAACATATTTAAAAGATGAGAGAAAATCAAAATTTTGAATCACCTAATAATACCAAAGAGGCACAAAGGGGACCAAAACTCTGTCCAGCAGAAGAAGGCTTTCTTTCGCTCTTTTTTCCATATTGATAACTTGTTCTTTAATTTTATAGCAGAGACAACCGCTGTCCAGACACCCTGGAAAGGTCAGTAAAAACCTGCAAAAGCTTCCCCAAATTCTGATTGTGAACCCCAATCCATCCTTCCGTATCTTTCCCTTGCAGCTAAGCTAACATCAAGGGATTGGTCCTTCATAGATGGAAATGGTCTCTTCCCAGCTTCCTTGTGAAATCCCTTGCCTCTTCTTTGCTTCATTCCCAGGAAACCTGCTAAACCTGCTTCCAAAGAATCTACCTTGACAGTAAAACTTCCCCTGTAGCCAGCCAACTTCATTACAGAATAATGTGCCTCGTCCTCATTTCTTGCAGCTTAACATGTGCTAGAGATCTCTGCACAGCTTCTGCTTTTGTTTGCTGTGTGTCTACCCTTCCCTTTTCGCTTTGGCGTTCCCCCAAAATCCCTTTTAACATTCTCTGTATGACCTGTCTGTGAAGTGCAAAGCGTGGAAGAAGATTTCTAGTCTATCTTTATTCAGAATCATGCTTTGTGTACATATTTTCATTATTCAGTGCCTTTAATATCAAAATATACTTTGCTGTATTAGTGGATGGATTCACCTGAACAATTACAGTGCTGCAGATTAGGATTGTGCATGGATTTGGTTTGATCAGTTTTCTTTTGGCCAATCCAGTTTACGGTTTGGCAGGCCATAAAAATAAGGGCTCAGTCACCATGATTTTTTGGCTGAAATGGGCTACGTGGAAGCCGGTCACGGCTCCTCCTCACCTATTATGCATTACACAACACTCAAAGAGGCTGCTGTGTACTCTCATGGAGTTTCCCTATGAACTCTACCTGTTGAGCCAATCAGGATAGAAGAATGCCATGTTGCCTGTTAAGCAAGCTGTGTCTATTTAATGGAGCGAGTTCCTCCATTGCTTTCAGTTGCATCCTGGCTCTAGAGAGGTGCTTCAGTCTGATTGCCTTGCCACTTACTCTCAGCTTTACTTTTTTTTTGGCTTGGCCTCTCTAGCATTGAATCTTTTCAATTTTCCTTTATTTTCCTTATTTTTTTATTCTTTTTATTTAATGGGACTGGGAGTTGGGAAAGTGCGGGACGGGTGAGGTGGGTGTGTGCACACGTTTGGGCACTTAGGAGAAAGAAAGAGCATTTCTTTGCTCTTGGTGTGCTTTTCTTTAAAAATATTTGGGTGGCTTTGAGAGCCTTGAGTTACCCTTTAGCTTCTTTTTCTCCTCCCCTCTTCTCCTTCAGAAAATAATTTTAAACGATAAAAAATATTACTATTAATAATAGTAATCCCAGCAAACAAATGGAAAAGTCTCATTCTCAGAAAACTACTGTCTAGTTACCTACCTATAATTTCATTCCTTTGTGAAGAAATTCTCTCTGTTTATATTTCTCTTCGTGCTCTCTGCCTTCTGAATTGCAAGTAATAATAATATTAATAAGTATTAGTAATAATCCTTTGGTGGTTGCCACTTGCCAGTAGTAATGGCAACTATAAAACTTAGTTTTGGGCTTCAATCTGTGGAGAAACCTTTTCAGAACCTATCATCTCTCCTCCTCTCCTTCAGAAAAGACTTTAAAAAAGACAATAATAATAATTTGTAATAATAATAATAATAATAAGAAGAAGAAGAAGAAGAAGAAGAAGAATAGATAGGATCATAAACCTGCAAAAGTAGTGGAAAATGAACACGCAAAAATACTGTGGGACTTTTGAATCCAGGCTGACAAAGCTTTGGAACACAATACGCCAGACATCACGATTGTGGAAAAGAAAAAAGTTTGGATTATTGATGTTGCCATACTTGGTGTCAGTCGCATTGAGGAAAAACAACAGGAAAAACTCAGCCATTATCAGGACCTAAAAATTGAACTGCAAAGGCTCTGGCATAAACCAGTACAGGTGGTCCCAGTGGTCATTGGCACACTGGGTGACATGCCAAAAGATCTCAGCCGGCATTTGGAAACAATAAATATGGACAAAATCACAGTCTGTCAACTAATAATAATAATAATAATCCCAGCAAACAAACAGAAAAGCTTCATTCTCAGATTACCTACCTAACATAATTTCATTCCTTTGCAAGCAAGTTTTTTTCTGTTTGTATTTGTCTGTGCTGTCTGCCTTCTGAATTTCAAGTAATAATAATAATAATAATAATAATCATCATCATCATCATCCTTTGGCTGTTGCCAGAGGTAAAGAAGAAAGTGTAATAGTGGGGGCACTGGGCTGTGTGATGTGGAAGTGCATCTTTGACATTTGGCAGGAAGGAATGGTGCCCTGCTGTGGCTTCTGGAGAAGTTACAGGGCAGGGCCCTCAGGAAGATACCTTTTGGGAAATTTTATTTCTAGAAAGAAAAGAAATGCCTAAAAATCAGGGGATTACTCAAACATTCTGAAACTTTTAATGCTAACAATGGTTGATGTGTCCTCCAAGTGTGATCATTTTCATCCCGATAGCCCTAAAAATGACAGGAAGGGGAACCTGGAAAGCCCCTTCCCCATTGCCGCCAGATCTAGCCACATTTTTTGGCTGCGGACCAAAAACAGATATTCGGCTACCCACCCATTTTCAGGAGATGTGCGAAAACGGATTTGGTGGTCTCCCGAAATTTGGCAAGCAGAAACAGATTGAGGTTCAGCTGAACTTCACTAGCCTACTGCAGATATGAATACTCAGGTGCCTCTCAATACTTCATGTGGTGTTTTCTATCCATATTCCTTTAGACATTCAGGGGAAAGCTATAAATGTATGTGGTAATAAAATAGTCCCCAAAAGGCATACTTTTTGAAAACTGAGATATATTAGTTATTATCACTTGTACATTTTAATAGTTTTATCCATGTTTTTTATGTTTTATTTAAAACAACTTGCATTGCCTTAACATATCCTCCCACTGTCCCAGTTTGGCAGGGACAAATCTGATTAATCCTCTGTCATATGACTTTTCCAGCTGTTTTTAACAATGCCCCAGTGTCTCTCTCTTTTTTTTCTTCCCACTTTCTCCTTTCATTGTCTATGTGCAAACTGAGCTCAAAGTACAAAAATAGTTTGGACTCAGTTAATAGGAGAAAAGGACTCTGCTTTCTGAACATAGAATACCAATCATAAGATCATTTTTCACCATTTATATTTGGGTATGTGCAGGGTTAGTGTTCAACAAAAAGGAAGAGATAGCTTGGTGAACTTGGACATCTTTAGAAAATCAAATGCAAGGCCTACTGTTATTTCCCATCGATGTCCGCTTAGCCTTTATGAATATAAATAGACCAATCTTACAACTGTAGGCATGGTTTATCTGCAATAAATTTGGGGGAATCTGTGGGAGAAAGGTATTTCACTGGTATGGGAACACCACCAATAACAGCACTCTGCATGTCTTAATGGTCCAAACTTGGAAGGAAAACTCAGCAGGGCATTCCAATTCAACCATTTTCAGCTTATTGTGTTTTTGTTCTCATATGTTCTCAATGGAAACCCATTGAGCATGATTGTTGATCATTTTGGAACATTACCTCTGAAATGATCTCGACCAATGTTGGAGATAAGCCAGGTATGGTTGTTCTGGTTTCTGATTTATATTGAGATAAGTTGTTATGGCAGTATAGGTACTTTGGCAGATGTTATACAAATTGATATGAAACAGCTGCTTATGGAATGGGCAATTCCAAACCAACAGACCACTTAAGAGGGAAAATGCTCTGAAACAGTGTGTTTGCTCTGAATAAAAGAAACAGCACCAAGATGGTTTAGTGGGCTTTTGGATCCTGAGCTTCTCTGTCTGTAGTTCTGCATTTGTTTGGCTATTAGTTCTCCATCCAGACACTCTTCAGATCTTCACAGCTCCAGATCCTTGCCCGCTCTATCAAGCATATCTATTGACTCATGTAAAATTTGGGATATTCAGGTTGGTAGGCTGTTTCTGTGTTCTAATTTATGGCAATTCTATAGCAGTTGTAAGTTTTTTTGGGCTGCTATGGCCATGTTCCAGAAGCATTCTCTATGGATGTTTCACCGGATAAGGCAGGCATCTTCAGAAGTTGTGAGGACCTCACAACCTCTGAAGATACCTGCCAGAGCTGCAGGTCAAACGTCTGGAGAGAATGCTTCTGGAACATGGCCATACAGCCCAAAAAACTTACAACAACCGAGTGATTCCAGCCATGAAAGCCTTCGACAATACAATTCTATAGCTATTCTAGTTGAGGTCCATGGAATGCAAAAACGAGCTTCAATTTTGCTCAGGATCTGGAGCTATGGATGGATGAGTGAGACTGAAACCAACTTGCAAATTGCAATCATTTTTACAAGGATGGCAGTTGTGGCGGGGGGGGCATTTTCTTACTAATTATTGGTGATCCCATTTGCTGACATGGTGCCTCCTATCTTTTTACAGGGCCTGGAGCAGTGCATGATGGCAACAGTGGTGGGTCAAGAAGAGTTGTCTGCATCTGGCTGTTCCCCTTCCTTCTCCTACACCTGCTGCTCAAGTTTTGACCCCGTCAACTGTGGCACTCAAAAAAGGAAAAAAAGAAGAAAAAGTAAAGAAGAATATTAAATTTTTTAAAAAATAATCAGAATAGTAAAGAGAGTATATTATGAGGAAATCTTGAGGAGAAAGAAAGGAAGTTTGAAAAAAAATAAACACAAGAAGAGTCCATATTGTTCTGCTGATGTATCAACACAACTGAGTGCTGTTTTATTTCTAATTTTTCCCCATTTTTCCTGATATGGACACGTATACAGCTGTTGGGGACCTACCAGTTCATTTGGCTGAGTGACCATTGCTCCCCATTTTTTTCCACATTAAATCTTAGCAAGATACCTGAGTCCTTCCTTCCTTTTCTTACACCCCTTCCTTCCTTTTCTGACCTTCCCTCCATTTGTCTTTCCTGTCTTTGTTTCCCCCTGAACTTGCCCAACTCTCCTACTGGGAGGATTACAATGTCTGCTGCCTTGTGCGCAACACGTCATGGCTTTCGTCCTCCGATTCTCTTCCTCTCACAGACTGCACTGTTATCTCTTTAATCGCAAAGTACAACACAACTACAGATGACAACCACTCTGGCAAATTGCAACCACAAGCGACAGCAAAGGGGAAGGAAAAACAACAGCAACAATAACACCTGATTGTTAAGACACGGATTCATTGTACTACATGGATATCATGGATAATAAGGGATTCTGATTCATTATTAATTTTATTAATTATATTTTCTGATATGAGCCTAGAACTGTTAGTTCATAAAAAAAAATACAAAAACAAACAAAAAATGGGGGGAAAAGAAGTTTATTAAGTATTAAAAACAAAATGAATAGCGGGATTCTTAACTAGGAGGTGAACGGTCAATATCTCCAGTTGTTTGTGTGATCTGTTTAGATGAGAATTGAAAATGTCCAGAAAAGCAAGAGAATGCAAGAATGAACAAGCAATGACTCCACCAGCATTATCAAGTCTCCATTCGTTGTTCTGGTGTTAAGCTCAAGAGAGGTTTCCGCTGCTTTCATACCGTTTGGAAGTGCAAAGGTTGATGCTCACTGTATGTTGAGTTAGATGGATATGCTTATTCTTTTTTATGAGGTATATATATCTATATATACAGATATGAGGTATATATATAAAATTATTATTATTTGTTAGCATTCTAGCACATTATTTCTCAGCCGGGTCCTTCTTCTGACATTACTGCATGCTGTATATGGAGTTAGCTGTGTATTGGTCTTTTCAGACAAAAGGGTAGAGTTTTATTGGTAATTGTGTAATTAATTCCTGACTCTTTCTTTTTCTTGGCCTTCCCGTGGGTTATTTACATGTTGAAGAGATTTATAAAAAAATAAGAGAAAAGAAAAGAAAAAATATATACAATTCTGTAGTGTCTCTTTCCAGATTTGGATTTCTATGAGGAGGGGTATTGATTATTAAAACTAATACACATGCTTCATTTTCTCTATTCTACACAGCTTCAGTTAGGAACATGAGAAGGACACAAACATGAAATAAAAGAAATTTAAACTAATAATGCCCAGAATTCTTTATCACAGTGTACATTATGCTATTTTATGGGGACACTGGCAAGAGTGTCTTGATGCACAGCGGCATTCCTAGTGTCCCAGTACACAATGGAACCATTGTGCATCCACTCCAATGTGCAACAACCCCAATGTGCATTGATCTCAATGAATATTGACCCCAATGCACTTTTGACACTTTGCTGGCTCCCTTTGTAGTAACACAACAGCAGACCTTTATTGGATATGGATATTATAGAACGGCCTAATTCTAATTTCAGATAACAAAGTTATGAAGACATACCTCTCTAACAGGATTGTGGCTCCTGTGTCCTTTCTATAAGAGAAAGGGGGGGGGGAGATTTCTCACCTCTATATGCGAAACCAACTCATTAGTTTTGTTCATATTTGCATATCTATCCATGAACTGAGAGAAATGCACATCAATGGATGTTTTGGAATAGACCAGAAATTGGTGGCCTACATTGTCTTAGAAGACAATTATGCTGGGGAAGGTGGAAGGTAAAAGGAAGAGGGGCCGACCAAGGGCAAGATGGATGGATAGCATCCTTGAAGTGACTGGACTGACCTTGAAGGAGCTGGGGGTGGTGACGGCCGACAGGGAGCTCTGGCGTGGGCTGGTCCATGAGGTCACGAAGAGTCGGAGACGACTGAACGAATGAACAACATTGTCTTCAGATCAATAGTGGATGTTGCCTCCTACTTGATTTTTTAAAAATCTACATTGCTTTTCAGCCTGTTTGGGGATACTTGATTCTTCAATTGGTTGTGGAAGGGGATATTTGTCAATAGCTAATACATCAACATCATTCATCAATTAAATGTTGAACTTTGGTGGAGAAAAGCTCTGGCTTGAGGAATCAAAGAGGAAGACCATCTTCTTGCTTCAATGCCATTTATTTGTTCCTTCTCTACCAAGATTTGAGCAACGGGTCCTGGTGAGGTCCTTTTAGAAAATAGCATTGATGTCAATAGTACATGAGAACTGAATTGATAGTGTCACATTCACGCAAAATGACGAGGAAACCAAAACCCTCCAAATCATATAGGGGCTATTATAAATTGATATGACGTTGGGTTGAGAGGTGCTTCAAAATCCCGAAAATCACAGAAAAATGTGTGTGTTTGATTGGTTTGATTTCTAATTTTTTGTTCCCCAGCAAAATATAGTATGAAATGTAAAATAGTGCATTTTATTGAAGTTTACAAGTAATGAAAATCAAACCAGCTATCATTTTGCTAACCCCGTCCATGTTTCTCCTATTTACTCTTCATCGATTCTAGATGTCTTCTTTCTGCCTGTCATTGTTTTTTTTTTTTAATCCTTGCCCTCTTCTGTCATTGGACTGAAATCCTAAGTTCATGAGCTAACATCTCTGCCTTGAGTTTGGTATTCAGTCTCCCAATATCACTGGTTTCAATATTGTGGTCATACTGAATTTCCTTATCCTGATGATACAATATCTAATCTTATCTCTACTATCTGTCTGGGGAACACTTTCTAGGCTCCAGAGAAATAAATACTTTCTAAAGGATTTCACAAATCCAAGAATACCGGCTTTCTTCCTTTTCTTGTTGTTACAAATATTGGCATTCCTTTCCACCTTGACCAAAATTTCCCTAGTTTTGCTATTATATGCCCCATGAATGGCTCTTCTACAACTGGCAAAGGGTGTGGGATGGGGAATCATTTTGGGAATGTCCCTATAACACCATCCTCTGGATCAGTATTTCTCAAACTCTCTCCTCCAGGCATTTTGGACTTCAAGCTCCTATAGATCCCAGCTATCTTACCAGCTATTGTCGAAGGCTTTCATGGCCGGAATCACTGGGTTATTGTAGGTTTTTCCGGGCTATATGGCCATGTTCTAGAGGCATTTTCTCCTGCAGGCGAAACGTCAGGAGAAAATGCCTCTAGAACATAGCCATATAGCCCGGAAAAACCTACATAAATTCACTATCTTACCAGCTATTATGAATTATGGGATCTGAAGTCCAAAACACCTGGAAAAGCAAAGTTTGAGAAACAATGTTCTGAAAAATGCCACAGATCTCAGAATTTGATATCAGTTTACATCTATTTATGTTGTACAGCCCAGACACTTCACTGGTTCTCCTGTCTGCTCCACCAGTCTTGGAATTGTTGCATTATGTGAACAGGATGGGAATCACAGCTAAACCATCAGACTTTGAGATGGTGAGTGGTTAGCTGTAGTGCAGCTCCACCTGCAGAACTTCTATTCCGAACAATGCAGGATTTTGTTCATAGTCTAACCCTTGAGTTAGTTTTTGGAAAACACTGGGATTGCTAAAACATAACAAATGAGTCCCCATTCATTTATTGCTTCCATGGACAAGTGATGATCTCCAAATAATACAGCTCACCAATAATGTGTATCAGCATTCCTAGAATTGCAAAAATGAGACTGGGAGTTGTCATGCATTTGTTATGTAATACTACATAATTGACTAGCTACATATTGTGGATCACAAGTTATGTGTGACCATATGTTTTATAGACATTTCCAGACAGAAATGGTTGCAGGGAAGTGGTTAATAGAGCAGCAATGTGTCCTTCAAGAGCGGAACTGAATGTAAGAAGCAGAGCTGCATGTAATGAGGTCTGGGAAATAGAGATATAAAGGTTACAAGTGGGATTTTTATTTTTATTTTTACAATCACTTTTCTCACACTTTATAGTTACTCAGATGGTAGTGCTGGAAGGGAGAGTTAACCTCTTTGTCTCATCTTGTCCTTGATTTCAGGTCATAGACTTTTGATCGGATTGTGGCTGTGGCCTTCCCTCTAGCTATGATGGGTGAGCAAAAGAGAAGACACAAAGGTCATTAACCATGCCCAGTGAGAACGACTTTGTCCAAAAACTGGCTATGTTGTGCTGCTCATTTTCTATCATCTAATATCTGGGGAATTTGTCCCATACAAGAAATGAGAATGTGCTCCCCTTAAAGAAATCACCTAGATTTTGTTGACATAGAGCTTCTTCTCCAAGACAGCTGTGAGCTCATTTGTATGTCACACTCATTAAGGTGGCCCACAGCAAGTTCTTTGCTCAAGATACTAATATAACTCACTACATAATTTGAGAACAATATTTATTATAAGTTGCCTCATTCATGACTTCCCTCAGTCCCATTTTCCATGCAATAAGTCTGGGGAATCTTGATGTTATGTCCATATGGATTTATAATCCATCCATTTCAGGTTTTACTGGATTTCCTACAGTTTTTAGGCATGCCATGGGTGTTTGGATCGTTTTCTGTCCTGGCTTGCTAGATTTTCGTTCTCTTCTTTCTTTCTCTTCATTCTTTCATCTAGCTCTTCTATAAGTGGAGTTGTAGGGCAAAACGTACAGCCACTCCTCTGCCCAGTACTTTTCGAGAAACAATTGGCTCATCTTCAAGTGCTTTCAAGGCAATGGGGTACATTTCACACCTAACATAGAGATAAACCCGAATTAATGAAGTAGATGTGTTCCTAGGCATTACTTATTCGACAAACATTTTGGTTCTAGAGGCGGAACTAACGCGGAAAGAATGGCATAGTTCCTGCACCACAAAAATTAAGAGTACTTTAATGCCTTTGGCAAACTTTTAAATACATAAACATGGGAAATGAAATAACCAGGTTGGGGTAAATAGTTTGAACCATTCAAAAATATCCAAGACTGGTTTTTTTTTAAATAAAAAAATGGAGTTAGATGGTCAGGTAGACTTCTCTTCTCTTCTCTTCCCTTTTCTCTGTTTTCTCTGTTTTGCTGTGAGGCAGTTGCTGTTTATTTTGCCTGCTGTAGTTAGGCACATCCAACTACAGTAAGATCAGCTGGGCTTATCTTCACTCCCTTTTTCTCTGTTTGCTGAGAGGCAGTTGCTGTTTATTTTGCCTACTGTAGTTAGGCATAGCCAACTACAGTAAGATCAGGTGGGCTTATCTTCACTCCCCTTTTCTCTGTTTGCTGTGAGGCAGCTACTCTTTGTTTTGCCTGCTGTAGTTAGGCACATCCAACTACAGTAAGATCAGCAAGAACAGAATTCCATTCTTTCCCAACATGAGTTTTGTTTTATTGTGTACTACAGATATACTATTTCTCCAGTCTTGCCTTACTTTCCTCTCAATGCTGATGCTGCTAAAAAACAAAAGGTTCTGCAGGCAGAGTAAGCATAAAGTGACTAAAAAAGACATTTCTTTGTCAAAGACTTTATTAATTAAGGCATGCCTAAAGCTCTTTGTCCTCACAAAACAAGTTTCCAGTTTCCTGGATTGAGGTTTCAAATCTACAGCAAACGTAAGTGTGTCAAGTGCAGCCGGCGTCTGTTTTGAAGATTAATCACAAGGATTGCACAAAAAACAATGGAACCACTGGGGTTATGGAAGACAGATGCAGTAAAGTAGAGTAACCCCTGGAAAAATAAGTGTTAGTGTTTGAAGTTTCTGTGTAGCCTGTTGTTTTCTGGAAAAAAAATGCCTTTTCTTGGATGTCTAGGGAAAAAAATAGTTCAATTTCATGAGAGCAGAAAAATTATCCCACTGCCTGTGGGTGAAAACCTGAAATAATGAGCCAAATGGGCCATTTTTAGAAGAGAGGGGATGACAACAGCACTGGGATGTAATTATCATGTGTGTGTAAAAAGAATCTCAAAGCAGAAATACTAAACACATTATGCTTGTATTAATCCTCCTTACGATCTAGAAAACATCCAGAATTTTATGATTGAGAATGACAATTTCCAAGTAGGTCATACCCAATAAGTTCACCAGGTGTGCAACTCTGGAAGAGAGTTGTGTGTTAATCCAAAAATGTCACCAGTGCCACATCTTCTACCTGTATGGGCCAAGCTAGGTACTATGGAAGATGGAACAAAAGGCAACTGTTTAGCCAAGTCATGTCACCGAATTCCCCAGTTGCGAGCAAGAAGCAAGACACCATAAGAATCACCAAAAAAAAAAAAACCTACCTTCTTGTACCATTATTGTTTTTTTTCCTCAGCATTTTCCTCCAGGGTTCTATTATTCAAATGCCAGGGGCATCATGTGACATTGTTACTCACCTACACATTTTTTTGCTACCTGTAAGAAAATAGATGGCTAAAAACAAGCAAATTGAAACCCAACCCTTGTGATTCGACGAGCATTCAGAGTGCATGATAAAAAGGATATTTTTGTTACTTACCATATAGAAATATACCAGGCCATTTAACATGGTTCCTGTCCTTCAATTAATTCCCAGATCATATAAGAACAAGTAATAGTTCACAAGGTAAGTTTCAAAACATCACTCTATTAGTTATAGCAGAAGACTAGTTATTGTAAAAATGAAATCAAGGCTGAAATATAGTGGTAGAAATAAAAGCAATTATTAATGTGTTAAATTTGCATAATCAGAATGCAAAATATTAGTAATATGCATAACCATAAAGTATTATTATTATTATTATTATTTGCATAATACAAAGATTAAATGCTCAGATTTGAAGAACTAGCATGTGGCAACCATACTAAGAAAAATATGGGATAATACAGGAAACTGGGAAGGTAACCACAGGAGTCTGGATTTTCATGACCACTATAGTTGGTAAAATAGCTCTATTCTTTTCAACAACAACAATACTTTATTTATATACCACTCTATCTCCCCAATGGGGGCCCAGAGCGGTTTCCAAGTAACATAATCAATACATACAAAGAAAACAGCATAAACATAAAATTAACAAGACAATATAAGCATTAAAAACCACAATAGCACATATATTTAAAATAATCCTGACCGTTCAAGGCAGTTTAAAAGGCCGGGCCGGGCTAATGCGATTTTAGAGGGCCTGGGAAATTAGGTAGACTCTATGGCTGTACATTTCCAGGGACTAATACAAGAAAGGGACCTGGGTAATTGGTAGAAAAAGATATGGCCAATTTCAACAGTATCTCAGGCAGTGCTAGAACTAGTTGTTCTCAAAGGTTTGTTTAAATCAACAGGTCTTCAGGCTCTTACGAAAGGGAGGGATGAGGCCTGTCTTATTTCTCCAGGAAGGGCATTCCAGAGGTGAGGGACCACCACCGAGAAGGCCCTCACTCTCGTGGTTGTGACAGTGGTGGGAGTGAAAGGAGGGCCTCCCCGGAAGATCTTAAAGTTCGTGCCGGTTCATAGAGGGAGATGTAATCACGAAGATAGGCGGGGCCCAAAACCATTTAGGACTTTATAGGTCATAACCTGCACATTGAATTTAGCTAAGCAACTTATCGGCAACCAGAGAAGCTGTTTTAAAAGGGGCGTTGTATGCTACATATAGTTTGCTCCAGTAAGGAGCCTGGCTGCCACCCGTTGTACCAGTTGGAGCTTCCGGGCCGTCTTCAAGGGCAGCCCCATGTAGAGGGCATTGCAATAGTCCAATCAGGATGTAAGCAAGGCTTTAATATTAAAGTATATTAATATTATATTAATATTATACTCTTTAATATTATAATGGTTGTATTTTGTCTGATGCATCTGGGCAGGTCACTGCCAACAAGAACATTCTCCAGCCAAAGTCAAAACAGTGGTGTATATCTCTGAAGGGCAGTTAACACATTCAATTTGGTAAGCTTTTGATTTTTTTTTTAAAAAAAATTGAATTCACTGACATTTCCTACTATTTTCAACTTCTTTGAATCTCAAAGGCCCTCCCATGCAAGTACACGCAAAGAAGATGTTCAGGTAAGTTTTTAGCGAGTGCAAGTGGAAAGACAACATATTTTTTCACACTCTTCTGAGTCTTACATAGACAGTGGGGGCATCTATACTGTAGAATTAATGCAGTTTGATACCGCTTAAATTGCCATGGTTTAATGTGATGGGATCCTGGGAGTTGTAGTTTTACAAAGTAAAACTGCCAAAAAGAGTACTGATGCAGTTATATGTGATGTCAAACTGCATTAATTCTACAGTGTAGATGCACCCGTAGTGCTTCTAAAGGCAACACTGGTAGATGTGAGAGATGGAAAGGGGAAACAGAAGGCAGGCTCTAATCTATATTGGAATTAGAGACTTTAATAAGTTAATTTATTATAATAATATTGTTTGTTATTGTTTAAAGTGAAATATTGTTTTGTACAAAATGTGAATTCATGGACTGGGTGACCATTTGCATATGCACCTTGAAAATTTATCTCTTTCAAAGGCACAACTTTGTTTTTGGCTTGCTTCTGTCACAATCTCTCTCCTTTCTTCTATTCACTGCCCTCATTTCCGCCTATAGATATGCAATGACAAAATAACGTTTCTGTTCTGTACAAATACAAATGGTAGTTGCAGACATAATAATTAATGTTTGTTTTGCTGATTGGAATTCAGTTTTCATAAGATGCTGTGCTTGCCAGTAACTGGATAGGCTTTAAACATGAATTTCACAAATTTTTCAGACAGTTCTATCGATATCTGTTAGCTGTGACAGCAGTTTTGCTTTGTTTTTAAATGAAATTCCTATCTTCAGCGTTAGCATATCTCTGAGAATCTAAATGCTGAGAGTGAAATGAGTGCCTGTCCCATCATATTCTGCTTATGAAAGGTGACTAATGTTGGAAGCTGAGCATGTAATCCTATAAATCCTATATATGTGTGTGTGTGTTCAAGTTTCCTGTTGACTTATGCCAACCCCATGAATTTTCATAAGGTTTCCTTAGGCAAGGAATACTTAAAAGTGATTTTGACCGTTTCTTCCTCTGAAATAGAGCTTACAGCATTTGATATTCAGTGTTGGTCTCCATGCAAGTACTAACCAATTTAGCTTCCAAAACCAGACAAGATGTGGTGATGTTCGGGTATGTAGGCACTGCAATCCTATATACCAGGAAAGATATTTTGCAGTCTCTGTTGCCATGTTTTCTGCTACTACTAAAGCCATATGTATGTAGCTGTGGACAATGAAAATACTGGAAAACTTTATTGGAAATTGTTGCTGCCCCCATGGAACAAAAACAGAAAACTTCAAAAAAAAATTTGTCAGGAGCGACTTGAGAAACTGCAAGTCAATTCTGGTGTGAGAGAATTGGCCATCTGAAAGGATGTTTCCCAGGGGAAACCCAGATGTTCTGATGCTTTACCATCTCTCATGCCCCTGCATGGGGAGCTGGAGCTGACAGAGAGAGCTCATCCATGCTCTCTCCAGATTTGAACCTCTGACCTGTCTGAATTCAGTTCTGCCGGCACAAGGGTTTAACCTTCAAATTGATCTACATATAAAATGTGTGTGTATATAATGCTCTCTCTCTCACACACACATACATACACACATATACACGGGATGTCCCAAAAGTCACAATATATTGGGAAAATGTGAAATTATAACTAAATGAACCTTGATATATAAAATATACATTTCAAAATTTGCCTAAATAATTACAAAATACTATCTGTGTTGTATATCTGAAAGTATAAAATATTAAAATTAAACATATATTAAATA